AATATAGATGTGCATCAGATACAGATATCTATATATTTAATCTTGATGAGATATACAGTACCAGTATTACCAGTCTTGTTTTCACGTTAAACGTTATAACAGACGTATATAACTATATATATAAATATAACGGACGTATATATATATATATATATATATATATATTTAGTGAGTTATATATATATATATATTATATATATATATATTTAATCTTGATGAGATATACAGTACCAGTATTACCAGTCTTGTTTTCACGTTAAACGTTATAACAGACGTATATAACTATATATATAAATATAACGGACGTATATATATATATATATATATATATATATTTAGTGAGTTATATATATATATATATTATATATATATATATTTAATCTTGATGAGATATACAGTACCAGTATTACCAGTCTTGTTTTCACGTTAAACGTTATAACAGACGTATATAACTATATATATAAATATAACGGACGTATATATATATATATATATATATATATATTTAGTGAGTTATATATATATATATTATATATATATATATATTTAATCTTGATGAGATATACAGTACCAGTATTACCAGTCTTGTTTTCACGTTAAACCAATCATTAAAAATAATATTTTTCCTTATCATCTGATTAAGGGAATAAAAAAATCACACTATCAAAAACATAAAATGTTATAGTTTTATAAAAATCAAAATTTACATTCTTGAGTGGCAATTCCAAATGTTATATAGGCCTGATGAAATCAAGAAATTTATAATCTGTGATTAGCTGTAGTGCAGCTTGTAAAGTCACTTCCACCCCTTGCTGACTGTTAAAGTGCAGTATAACGGAACATGACCTACCAAATGAATGAAACTTTGTTATTTTCCCCTACTTTCTTCTCTTGTTCTTTTTTCGCTTCTTAAACTCTCTCTCTGATGAGGAGGATTCATCACTGTCTGTCATTGCCCTTTTTAATGTTTTATGTTTGCCATCACTATGATGTTTTCTGTAGTGATTGTCTTCTTTATGGTGTTTCATAGCTCGATCTTTAACATCCCGACTATCCCTCTTACCATCTTGTGTATATTCTGTTCTAATTGGTCTGTGTTTCAATCTCTCTGTTTCACCATGATCACTGTAGTTTATTTTCTTTTTATCCTTTCTTTTGCTTTCATCCTCTGGAGTATCATAATGTCTGTGTTTATTATATTTCTTTACTTTCGATCTTTTTTGCTCCTCTTCAGATGAATAATTATTGCTCCTTTCTTTTCTTTCTTTTTTCTTCTTTTTCTTCTTTTTCTTTGAACTATAACATAAACAAAATCTAGATCAAAACTATTCTGCAATGTCTTATTTAAATATATTATTATATATAATTATTTATTTAATTTTATTAATTAAATGGTTCAGCAAAAATAACCTAGCTTTTAAGATTAATGCTAAATTATAACTTTTAATTTATATTAATATTTATGTTACTTCAAAATGAACAAGTTATAAATTAATGTAAAATAATTTAATTAGGAAATTAAATTACTAAAGTACATTTTATATATTCATTTTCTGGAATGAAGGTAGTTTCCCTGGTCATATTTTCTTCTACTTAGTAACATACTGTAGTAATCAATCAATCAATCAATCGATCAATCAATCACCAATCAAAGCAGTAAATTACAGACTGGCAGTACTAGTATAATATTTACAGTTTCAACACTGCAGTCTGTACTGTAATCAATAAACTTTTTGCAAATAATTTCTTAGCATGGTATTTTCCTTATTTATTTTATGCTTGAACTTATTCTTGTTTTTTTTTTGTTGTGAATTACTAAAACTAATAGTTGTCTTTCTTTATTGACGTTACTAATGTATAAATTTAAATTAATAGTTTATTTAGGGTGAATAGTTTTCAATTACTGTATTGTACTCAGAAAAGAAAAATGATGTTTAATATTAAATGTATTTGACCACCAATAAAGAAAAACTGAAACAATAAACATGAAGACATGATTACACTATTATGTATACTTTGTATTCTAAATACTTTGGTTAAATTATTAAATAAACCTTATTGGTTTATTGTATAGAATTTCTATTGAAAGTTCCAAATTACTGGATGAATCACATTCATTAGGCATAATGAAATAAATAAATATACAGTTCTCCCTCCAACTAAAGACCACTTTTGGGATCAGGGTTTCCATGGTCTTTAGCAACTTTGGTCTCTAATTAAAATAAAGGTTTCACTCCAATTAAAGACCACTTTGGGACTGGGGTTTCCATGGTTTTTAGCAGCATTGATCTCTAATACAAGTTTCCCTCCAAATTAAGATCACTTTCAGGACTGGAGTTTTCATGGTATTTAGCTGCTTTGGTATCTAATTACAATAATAAAGATAAAAGACATTTGTTAATTTGGAACCACAGAAAAGTGGTCTTCAATTAAAAGTGGTCATTAATTTGAAAGGTAATTAATTAGAGGATGATCTGTAATAAACATAAAAGAAACTTGTTATTTTGGAAACCACAGAAAAGTGGTCTTAAATTGGAGGTGGCCTTTAATTGGTGGTGGTCTTTAATGGGAGGCATCTTTAGTTAGGGGGAGACCTGCAATTGTTCTTTACCTCTGTTTGCCTTCAGAAGACTCCTTGTTCAATTTGTGTTCATGCTGTGGCTTGTAAGCACATTGCTATAAAGCAACAAACAAAATAATTTGATATTATTCACTAATTGTGATAATTATTATTCACGAGAAAATATAACAATCATTTTAAACAACATATAGGTAAAATAAAAAAAATGAATTTTAATTAAGTCCTTATGTTAAAAAAAATAGTGAAAAAAGCTAAATAATTATTATGACAAATAGTGATATAACAGCAATTACCGGTATATCATCTGGATTATACTTAAATACAATAATTTAGTAAATAAAAATGTACCTACTTTGGCAGTATTGGATTCATTGTTGCTAGTCTTGGGTGGCATTTGCCCACTGAAAGTAAGTACAGTAAGCAATAATTATATCAAACCAACCACATAAATGGGTCAGCCTAAATATTGATGTTTCTTTGAGAAAAATATCCATTTTATTTTTTTTTACTGGCATGTAGAATTTCGAACTAACCAACTTGTTGAGTAGAACACAAGAGTTTTCCCAGTGAAATTTCCCTGTTGACTGTACAAACAAGGTAAAAAGCAATCTTTTATACAGCATAGGATTAGTGTAGTAAACAGGCATCAATGATGGTAAGCACAAGGAACAAGCTTGCATGGAATACAAACCCAAACAGCATAATACTTCCACTTAATACAACATGCAAGTGATAACCTAGGTCTCAATATTAGGCTTAAGTTGTGGAGTAGTTTGTAGTTATGAGAATCAAGGTTTGAAAGGATTTGAACACATGGGGATTGGAAGGTAAACATCTTAAACACCAAGATAGAAACAGCTCTACTACTATTTGTTCTTCCTTGTACTTACAGAGCAATCATCATTGCCTCCTTCTCTGCATTCCTGACAGAATCGAATTCCTTCTTCAGGGTGGATTGCTTGTCATTCTTATCTTTAGCATACCATGTAAGGTCCTTCCCTTCTTGCCAACGACCAACTGGGGCTTTTACAGAATGTCCTACAATAAACAATGAGTCGAAGTTCCTAATTAATCAAGTGCATAGATTTCACAACAAATATGCACCCAGTAAATTTCACTATTCTGGGAGCAAACTGCCCATGTAAAGGATACAATCCTGTTGTGTTAAAAGACAAACTTAATATTCAAAATTCAAAAACTTTTATTGGTCTATTTAAAAAAATAAAAGTATTGTATATAGAAAAAAGTGTTTGGTAGATAAAATGGTATAAAACAAATAAACAATTATTAGAGTTTAGGGCATTAACCAACTTGGACCTCAAAGCTGGTTTGTAACAATTTCAAGGTTTCTTCTATTGTCTTTGATGTATAATATTGTAATTTTTATGAATAATGAATTTCTTCTATACATTATTTTATTTTGTCATTCCATCAAAGGAAAAAAAAATTTTTTTACTGTATTACTACTAGATACTGTATTGCCTTTGTTGAGAAATTTATTATTAAAATTAGCTAACTATAATTATCATTATTAATATTTATATTATACTACATATCTTGTTGACATCTGACATAGGCCTATTCAGTCATTTTTGTATTTAACTACTTACAGAAAATTTTAGATGAATCTGTGGTCAGAAATATTGGGTAAAGACCGAGTTGGTATTTGTTGGGTGAAAATTAAGGGCCAAGTTTACAAATAGCTAAATTTGTTCATGATGGATGAGTGGGTATGGATTGAGTTTGAGTTTGCAAAGAGCCGAGTTTACTTAATTAAGAAGTTGTAGGACTGTTGAGAAGTTGTAGGAACCCCTTGTCTGTGTTGTGCCCTAATAATATATAGTCAAATTATAATGTAGTCCTTTCTAGACTTGTTCAGACTAGGTTTAGCCTCTCTGCAAAATGACCAGACTGGCCACAGACCAACCTAGCCTAGGCCTAAGCTAGGTAGTAGTAGTAGGCCTGGCCCTAGGCCTAGTAGTAGGCCAGCAGTCAGTAGGCTTTAAGAGGCTAGGCCTAAGCCTAGCCGGGAGCGCGGCGCCTGTGATCGGCAAGCCTTACCAAGATAAAATTCTCTATGCTTATCCGTCTTTACGTCATCCCACTTAAACTGATCTGATCCTCCTCTATTGCCTCCACGCGGAAAATAAAACATACCGTAGGATTAGGTGAAGCAGGCCTTGGACTATAGGAAAAAACGATATATAAAACAGCAGCTTTTTTTTTTCTCACTGCGGCAGTGCCGATAGCCTCAGCCGTAAATTACAGAAAAGTATCGTATCGTAAATTCCTATGGAGCGCCACCACACAATCGGGATCAGATCAGGATTCACAAGATGCAAGGCGTCAGTAAAGTTTGCTGTAAAAAGCCTCTCAGCACCTGAAGATTGAGGAACCTCTCATGAAACAGCCTGTAGTGCGATACAATGTTGAGTTTTTAACCTGGTGTCATTTCGATTATTTATATTATATTATTACAGTATGTATATATATGTATATATATGTATGTATATGTGGTGGTTATCACACGGCAAAGCAATGAGCAATGAATTAACAATAAAATATAAAAAAGAGACAATTATGTAGAGGGCGTAATTTTTTGTTTTATCAAAATTTAAGGAGAGATGGGATTGTATAAATCATGTGTTGTAATATCTCCGGATAGTGTTTCCGGTTTAAAATGCTACGATTTGCAAATTTGTTGATAAAATTGAAAGTCTGTTTAAAAAATCGTATTACTGCCAAAAATCCAAACAAAAATAAGTTACAGGAAAAAGGGTTATTTCTGTTTTCCAGTTTACATGTTATTTTTAGATTTGGCTTCAAATCTATATGCCAACACCCCTCCCCAACCCCCTTCCCAAAAAAGGCCTTGTATTGTTAGTTAAAAGAAAGCTATTACTGAAACCTTTTCTGAATTCTTTCAAAATAATAATTTAATTCCATATCTGGTTTTTTGCATATGTTTCATAGTTCATCTTAGTATACTTTTTGCGGGAGCAACACTGAAAATATTTTGTATCTTCTGTGGATTGAGTGTTTAGATTCTAACTTGCTATAAATTAAACATTGTTATGGGCTTGAATTTTAACTGAAATTGTGCAAATAATCCACGTACCTCTACCTTGTATAGTCATTTCTAATGTTTTTCTGTTTAAAGTAAAGGAGGTTATACCTACTACTATTGTGTTTAACGTTAAATTAAAATAAGGTACTTCCACAGATTTAGAATGATATTTACAAGAGAAAAAAATGATTTTTTAAAAATGAAATGAGAATGTTATAAATAAGGAACGACTAACGTTTTACTGTTCTTTTCCTTTTGCCTTTCCCTGACCTTCGCTCGAAATAGAGGGTGCCCAGAGAGGGACCTTCACAGATAGACACCTCAGCCCACCATGGTTGGGGCTGAGGTAAGAAAAATTAAGATTACGTTGCCTCTAGATGGTCGGAAATGGCACTCTCAGGAATTGAATATTATTTTCAGTTTTTTCTCTATTTAAAAAAAAAATAATTTTGAAATATTTACCAGGGTGGGGCTCAGCTAGTAGGATATGGTACAGGTAGTTTTTAGAATTGTAAGTATTAAAGTGTTATTTTCGGGCACCTACGGTATTTAATTACCGTACGTCGATTTTTTTTTTTTTTTTTTTTTTTTTTTTTTTTTTTTTTCTGAATTCGTAATAAAAAATAAAAAGGATTAAACGGTTACTTAAGTTTCATTTCCGGACCTCCAAAGGTATAAAATACTGAAATTTTCGCGTCACCGTCAACCACCGTGGCGTTGACAATGTGGACTACGGTATCATTTAATCAGCACACCCCCCACACCCCCAGGGCCGTAGCCACCAGTACGGTTGGTCAGGTTTCAGCCTGACTTTTTGACCGACCAGTTAAATTGATTAGGTTTTAAATAGGTAAAAAAGGCTACACTTAAAAAAAAATAAGAACCAGTAAAATTTTGCCCAAGCTCAGTGTTCTTATTTTTTGGCCGATTTCAGGCTCAAAATGTTCTTATTTTGTTATTATTTTACATACTTTTCAAACATAGAAAAGTATTATTGTACAATAGTATACTACTGTACTGCAATGTAGATAGAAATGGTCCGGGAAAATGGCCCCTGAAAAAAGGCCCCGGTAAAAATGGCCCCAGAAGAAAAGGCCAGGTAAAAATGGCGCCAAATGACAGGTACACCTTTATTGTATTGTATTATAGAGGGTACAGTGTTACATAGTCACAACTTCTGCACATATGGTGCAGATGAAAATGTTTTGGTTTTTCTATTTAAAAAAAAAAAATAGAAAACCTCATTTGACATTTTATCTCAGCCTCACTTTGTTCTTAATTTGTTCTTAATTTTTTAGCAATTTCAGCCTCAGTGTTCTTATAAAATATGATCTTATAAAAAAAAAAAACAACTTTAAATTCCACCTGTATAATGTTTAGACTCAACCTTCTCCTCTTGATATAACTCAGGAAACACAAGTCTGTGAACTCTGGGGGTGAACAGTTAATGCTAGTTCACATTATTTTCTTCCCTTTGGTGTAAGATTAATAATGATTATGATTAAGAAAATATGCATTTTTTCTTCAGTTGTAATTCAGTGTCCATGTGGGCTTGGCTTTTATAAAATTCAAGTAGGTCAGTGAGCTTTTGCGGAAAATCAGACTTAACGGTTCCCTTATACACTTGCCTAGGACTTCAATTGCATTTTAAACTACTTGACCGTGATTTGAAACCAGTGTCAGTATAATCTTAGGTAAGCAGGTGGTTAACATAAGCAAGAATTTAGTCCAATGAAACTGTTTATCATCTTGATACCTTCCGACGAAAATTGACCCTACCAACCTCACCACGGCGTCCCCACTGATCGATCTAACGTGACGCTGTTATATGGGTGTGTTATAGATTATTGAGAATGGTAATATCACCGAAAAAATCAATAAAATGACAGTTGAATGACCAACAAAGACAAGTGAAGACAATAGTTCGTCATTAGAAGTTATTTAGTATAACTTTATTCGGAAAATTAATCTCAAAATCGTGTTGCCGTCCCCGGCGTTGTCAGTGACGTCGTATGATTTGTGTGCGATTTTTAAGAATTAACAACTAAGTAAAAAAATATTTGAGAAATGTAGTAATTTGCAAATCAACCCAGAAACCCAGTAGTTTGTTGATTGTTTATTGGTAGCATCCCTGCGCTGCCAACAATAGTTTTTTGGCAGTTGCGTCCCCGGTGACATCGTGAGGGCATGGTGAAGGCTGGTCACGATTTGGTGGCACATCGATTGAGTATTTTCATTCATCTGGCCATGTAAGTCAGTGGCGTATCTAGATGTCTTGAAATGGGGGCTGATGGAGGGGAGGCGGGGGCTCCGATGATCAGTTGAGGGGGCGCTAATTCGCAAAATAAGATGATTTTAGGTGATTTTATACTACTTGACCGTGATTTGAAACCAGTATCAGCGTAATCTTAGGATAAGCAGGTGGTTAACATAAGCAAGAATTTAGACCAATGAAACTGTTTATCATCTTGATACCTTCCAACGAAAATTGATCCTACCAGCGTCACCACGGCGTCCCCACGGATCGATCTAACGTGACGTTGTTGTGTGGGTGTATGGATTATTGAGAATGGTAATATCACCGAAAAAATAGATAAAATAACAGTTGAATGACCAACAAAGACAACTGAAGACAATAGTTCGTCATTAGAAGTTATTTAGTATAACCTTATTCGAAAAATTAATCTCAAAATCGAGTTGCCGTCCCTGGCGTTGTCAGTGACGTCGTATGGTCTGTGTGCGATTTTTACCGATTAACCCCTAAGTAAAAAAATAGTTGAGCCATGTAGTACCTCGCAAATCAACCCAAAAACACGGTAGTTTGTTGATTGTTTATTGGTAGCG